CTGATTAAATTTCTCCGCTTTCAATACAATAAATACTTAAAATATCGTCATCAAAAAGTAAAAAAAACCTTCTAAGTTTACACTTATGTATTCTACTATTAATATATTAAAATCTTATCGCTTCAAATTACGTATATAAGTAGAACGTATTCTCGTAAAGGCCTTGTAATTGACATTCGATAACATTACACACGTATTTAGAATGTACAATTAAGGCTTTCACTTATGTGACATAAAACCTACATGTATTGAGATGAAATTGCAACAGGGGATGTAGCTCAGTGGTAGAGCGTTCGCTTTGCATGTGAAAGGCCCCGGGTTCGATCCCCGGCATCTCCAATTTTTTATAACCATATTTTTTACTTAAAACTGACCCTAGAATAGGATTTATATTATGTGTGTAATAAGAATTTATATTGAAAGTTTTTGAGAGTGTATGATTTGTGTTTTTTTTTGTTTGTCTTTCATTTAAAAACTACTAAACGTATTTTGATTGTAGGTACATCTAAATAAAGTAGCTTAAACATTAAAATACGCCAGAGCATATAATTTATACTGAAATACCGTACTATTACCGCATAATCGTAACTTATATAATATATGTATTTTGCATTAATCCACTTGAAACTGGCTATAGATATCCGTTCTGTGTTCAAATTGGTTACCATGTCTACAGTTTTAATACATTTCTCTGCGACAAATTCTGACGTTCTCGTAAACAAAGTCGCTAACAAAAACTAGTCTAGAATAAGACTATATAAAAACATTTATTCGTATCATCCAATAACTAAGTTCTAAACAATAGAATATATATCTAAAGCTTCTTGTAAAGTGGTAAGTAAACATATAAATTGACAGTTATAGCCAATTCCGAGCAATTCACAGATTACGCGATGAATCAACTTGTAAGCCATACATCGCGGTAATAGCGCAGTACTTCGTGGACGTTATTTTGAATCTTTTATAGCTACGGTATGTATTCAATTGGCTGTATGAATTAATAATGTTATGATACCTAAATTTATTATTATACAGGAATTTTATTATTATTTTAATGTCATTTAAATAAGTTGTGAAATTGTAATAATGAATTAAAAATTATTGTCTTCATTTAAATTTAAAAATAAATATAGAACTAGCAGATTTATGATGTATAAAAAAATCTCGATGTTTTATGTATATTTTTCATTGCAACTAACAGGAAGTAGAATAATGTGTGACAAATAACTACAATAAATTCTATATAACCTCATATCACAAGAAGATAACGTGGACATTTTTAAAACGAAAATTTATGATCGAGCAATTGAATTTCACAGTTGATTTGAGCGGGCCGGGCTTGAAAAATCCTTCCGGTTTTCAAATTCGGAACGCATCTGTCAAATAAACGCGGGAAAACATAGCAGAGCTGCCCGCTTAAGAAGGGTCGCCATGTGTCAAACGGGAAATAGTTATTTATGGACGCCATTCACAAATTGCATTCGTGGTCGAATTGATATATTGGAATGTTTTATATGTAAATGCGATCTTGGATGAATGCCCCAGAAACGGATATGGAATGATTTAGATTCTTGATAAGTTTGATGCTATTATTTACAACTGTTTCCATCCCAAAATTATATTTATATCTATTATCTAAAGATATCAATATTACAAGATTTTTTTCTATTTGTAATATTTTTCTGGAGTTTAAAAAAGGTTTTATTGTGCATAAAATATATTATTCATTCAATATTCATTCCCCTATTATTTTTAAATCTCAATCAAAATTATAAGATAAGCTAATTTAATTAAATCTTTTACAAAATATATATTATCTGTTTAGATACGTCAAATCAAGGTTTCTTATAAAATAAAACTGGCTAACTACATTTACTATAAGTATTTCAATGTAACAACACGCGCTGTATTTAATACAAACAATATTTCGAATAACAACAAATAAACAAGTGAACAGAGTCACGAGCGTTCTATAAATCATAATAGTTTCAGTAAATCAACATCTGTTAGAGAGGTCCACTCCGTGACTCACAAATATATATTTGAGATACAGAAAATAGTTTAATTCAAGGTTGCAACTGAATTTTATCTAAACTAATATTATAAAGAGGTAATATTTTTTTGTTTGTTTGTTTGTTACGAATAGGCTCAAAAACTACTGGACCGATTTTAAAAATTCTTTCACCATTATGATTGTACATCTTTCCAAAGTAACATAGGCTATATTTTATTTTGAAAAAAATTTGGGATCCTTGCGAAAACTTCGATAACATAAACCACGGTCGATAAAAATCACTATTGAAATACCTTAAATCGCGTGCGCTGCAATAACTATTGATGATGGGGCAAAATAATGTACTGCGATTTTGTTGACCGCATTATTATCTACAAAAAAGTCCGCGGTAGTGTATATCTAAGTATTATAGTTACGCCAATATAAAAACTTTTATAGTTTAACAAACTATTTAAATCGGCAACGAAAATAAGTTACATGTTCAGAGTGAAAATGAAGCATCTAACAGTGTACTGGAAGTATATAATGTATTAAAGCAAAACAAAATTGAAGACACATTTCCTAACGTAGAAATTGCATTGAGAATATTTTTAAGTATGATGGTAACTAACTGCAGCGGAGAACGCTCCTTCTCCAAATTGAAACGAATAAAAAATGAATTAAGAAGTACAATGCTTCAAGAGAGATTAACTAGTTTGTCGCTGATGTCCGTAGAATGTGATATTCTCAATACCATAGATTTTGAAGATGTGATTAACGATTTTGATCGTCTTAAATCTAGAAGGGTACCTTTGCAATCAACATAGAATTAATCTAAGGATTTTAAGTTAAGCGAGTTACTTTTGTAGATTATTTTTTATATTTCCTATTTTTTTATAGTTACTAACTAAATAAAAATTAATTTAGAACCTTGTTTGTCTTTCTTTATCTATTGTAACTAAATAGTGTTTCTCAAGGTCATAGGGGCCCCATGATCCTAATGTGCCAGGGCCTCAAATAGTTTAAAGACGGCATTGAACACAAAAAATAAATACCTCCAAATAAAATAGCTGACAAAGAAGCTGAATGTCAAAAGGGACAACCCCTTTAAATGTCAATTTAAAAGCATGTTGTATAAATCAAAATAATATTTTACATGGTATTCTAAAATTAACAGTAGCTAAGCAGCTTAGACATTTATAGGTTTACTAGAAGACCTTTTTTTTTTTGTGAGCACTGGGAAAAAATGCTTTACGCATCCCCTCTCCGTCGGGAGAGAATTATGCAGACTTTGAATTTATTTATTGATATAATATAATGAAAACTAAAATTTTTGAGTATATTATTATACATTACTAGAAGACCTGGCGAACTTCGTATCGCCCTATAATCAAGAAATATCTATTACGTTTTTTTATTTATATTTTTGGAGTTTACCTGTAAGCCACAAATCTCCGTGTTTTGAAGTGCGACAAAATGATTGACATATTAGTTAGTTGTCAAATCTAATGTAAAAAAAAAACGTTTCTATGGGAAATAGAAAAGGGCTGTTTTTATGGTTTTCCCAGTAATGAATCAATTTTTTTCAGCTTTTATACCTTCCCTGAACCTCCACGAACATTTCAAGACTAAGATAAGATAAATCCGTTCAGCTGTTTTCGAGTTTTAGTGAGACTAAAGAACAGCAATTCATTTTATATATATATAGAATACATTTTAAACTAGGTACACTTGTATGACAAAAATACTGGCCGCTAAATTAATCGAGTTCATTGATTCTAAAACCTTAAAACTACTATAAGAACTTCTTTCTATTTGTCAATTTCACTACATACTTTGATAGTGTTACCTTTTTTGGTACACAATACTTCCTGATTCTGAAAGATTTGCAAGAATTCAACATGACGCCTAACACGAATGTTTACGTGTATGGCGAATAACAAGTCAAAGTTATTGAAAATAAAAATCATATCGAGAAAAAAGAAAATGGAATTGTTAACTTTCATAAAGTTTTGTGAGTTTCAAATACTTCTCGATAATCTTAGATTAATGAAGAGACACCAGAATGATGACTTATATGGTTGCATAATATCGTAAACGTTCTTAAGAATCGTTTCATAACACTTATCTACTTTTAAGGTACATTTTTAATTAAAAAACAAACAATTTGATGGTAAACTTGTTTATTATAATTTTGAGATTTATATTAAAAACTGACATCGAAATTCTATATTTATTTCATTATAGATTTAACCTCATATATCATATTGTAAAACAAATCCGACATTATTCGATAAAATACAAGAACATATTAGAAGTGCTTCAATTTCATTTGTCGGACTGCACGTGACATCAAGGCTACCACGACCAGTGAGCATATGACTGGTGGATATAATATCGATTCCATTTCACAGCAGAAAGGAAATAACGAACACATCTTATAAATGTGTAATATAACATGAATTCATACATTAGGTTTCTTATTTAGTTATTCATTAAGAAATTACATAATATCTTTAACATGAAACCGATTTTTTTAATATTGATTTAACTGTTTATATGTTTAAAACAAAAGTTTTCTAAATTAGTATGTAGCATGATAATTTTTAAATATCGGAATGAAAACAAAAGATTACAATCAATATCATGTTGCTATATTTTCATTTGGTTACGTATTATATATTGACTATAATAATTTACAATTTCCAAGTGAAAAACCACAAATTATGAATTTACTTAAACATGTACCATTGAGGAATATTGAATTATTTAAAATTGGCTAATGGTCTGAAACGTCACAAAAATATACATTTAACGTAGTATGCTGATTTAGTCTATGGCAACACAGCTTTTTTAACTTCAGCGGTTATAAGTTATTAAAAAGAAATACATGTTCTTAGTATCTACCAACTTAGAGTACTTAAGGTGTTGAGGTATATTTTTAAGTTTTACCTAATAATTTAAATCGCTTGTTAAAATCCTTTTTAATAACAAATTTAGAAAAAATATGGATTTCACGAATAAAGTAGTTGTTATTACTGGAGCTAGTTCGGGAATAGGAGCTGCTACAGCGATTCATTTTTCAAAACTTTCAGCACAATTAGTTTTAGTTGGTAGAAAAGAAAATAATCTCAAGAGAATCTCCTTGTATTGTGAAAAAGCTAAAGCAGTGAAGCCATTACCCATAGTAGCAGATTTGACTGAAGATTCGGACGTCGAGAGAATAGTCAAAGAAACTATAGACCAGTTTGGAAAGATCGACGTTCTGATTAATAATGCTGGCGTTATATCCATGGGAGGACTTAAGGACTCAAATATGGAAATGTACGACAGAGTCATGTCGACGAACATACGAGCTGTGTATTATTTAACTAAACTTTTTACTCCATACCTAATAGAAAGCAAGGGTTGTATTGTAAATGTTTCAAGTATTCTTGGAAGTAAAGTTACAACAAATGCCTTAGCATATAACATGTCAAAAGCTGCATTGGATCACTTCACAAAATGTGTCGCTTTGGAACTGGGGCCAGATGGTGTAAGAGTAAACTCGGTAAACCCAGGTTTTGTGAAGACAAATCTGTTGAAAGATGTCGGGCTTTCTGAAGATCAACTAGAAATGTTGGTTAAGAATATTGTATGTAGGAATCCATTGAAACGGCAGGTGGAAGGTGATGAAGTCGCTTCTGTTATTGCATTTCTAGCCAGTGATAAAGCAAAGAGCATGACTGGTACATTCCTGAATATAGATTGTGGAAGTCTTCTAAGCTCATAGATTATTCAAATTAAAATAATCTTGAGCCATCATAATATTATGAATTATATATTTTTGTTATCACTATTTTAGTCTAGTCAAAGATTGTAATTTTATGCTGAATAATGTAGATATTTATTTTGTATATCTAATTGTCATAGTGACTATTTCTTCCTTTATACTATGTTAACATTTAATTAAATAAATTGTTACTAATAGTTAATGTTTTTAATTTTACTTTCATGTCAAAATACATACCACAACCATAATAAAAACACAAATGAAACAAGCTATTACAGTTACTAAGAATATTGCTTGTACATTAAATAGAAGTTCTATTAATCACAAAAATAAATAATACCCTATAAGTCATGCTATAAAATATAAATCAACAATTACAGGTTTCAATACTGCAGTTGAATATAGTAATTAATGAAATATATTATGTTAATTATGTCATATTTTTAATTCTATTGAAATGACAAGATATAATAGATTCATAGTTCATACTTACCTTGAAATACTAAGTACATATTAGGTATGTACTTTCTCTTTTTTTATCAATAGAATAAATGAATATTTGGTTTAACTACTTGTGGGGGATGTAGCTCAGTGGTAGAGCGTTCGCTTTGCATGTGAAAGGCCCCGGGTTCGATCCCCGGCATCTCCAACTTTATTCTTTTTTAATAAAATATTGTTACTTTACAAAATTTTAAAGTTACATAAAAATTAAAAATGTATGTCTCAGAGTAACTTTGAATAATTTTATGTTTACGTAGGTACTGAATTAAGACCCTCTTATTTTTCTAATCTCCGTTTACAGGGAGTAGTTATCTCTAAATAGATAACACGTATGTTACAAGTGGCGTTCTCCGTACTATACTAATTATAATACAATCCTTAAAAAAAATTATGACTGATATAATTAATTATAATACTGAACCATTGTAATTTCGTACTGGCAACATGTAATTGTCAACATGTATTCGAAAAAACTATAAATACTGGTTTCAACCATTTTGTAACACATTACTGGAAGTAACGCCGAACATTGAAAAACTGAAACTGCATCTCGAAAACCTATTAATGGAAAAAATACATTCTTGATAAAGAACATTATAAGGTAAAAATTTGTTATTTATTTTTAGATTTTTTTTGTTTACCACTTCGAAATTTCTATTAGAAACGACTTTTTATGTGGTTTGAAATCAATAGTATGATTATCATAAAAAGTTTAAATATCCTACATAAAAATAAGAGCCTGATAAAACATAAATGTATGGCACAATATAGTCAGAAAAATTACAAAGCGAACCTCATTCAACAGCTACATATATGTACTATTGTTAAAAAAACAATATAACTGTTTCCGTAAACTAAACATAAAAACAATAAAATAAATGCTGATGTATTTATTATTTAATTGTTCAGATTGAGTAAAGGCAATGTTGAGGAATTGCTTCGTTTTTTTACACTGACATCTCTTTGGTTGTTAAATATATTTTCATACTACCACATCACCAGAGAATACCAATATAACAGATTTAAAAATATATGTCAGTACTATATAATTATATCTAGGGGCATACATTCAATGGCTTACACAAAAAACCACTAACGAATTAACGGTACTTAGAAAATCAGTCTCTGGATGACATATCCATGACTACAATAATCAATTTGCTTATTTTATAATGCCAATACAAACAATATTGTTCAGACAAATTATTACCGCGGGATCTAGAAGCATATTTAAAATGGTTTTTTTTTTATATTTATTTACTTAAACTAATTTCATAGTATAGAATAATATTGTCTGTCATGTTACAATAGAATTTTGTTTCAAATATCATCTTAACGGCTCATACAGCTTGAATTGTGTGAATATAATTAGAACATACATCATTGTACTGGCAACACATCTTAATAGATTATTAAAATAAATACGCTAAATCGGAACACGTAATGTTCAATTTAATAGAGGAATGAACTTTATAATTAATATCGATTCAATTACCAATATATATATACACACGGGATTTAATAATTATGTAAGACAAGTGAACGACGCGGTGTGTCACTCCTCACAACTCGCTAAGCTAGCAACACTAGGTATACAATGAACACATCACTATAATGAAAAACTTGACATTGACATTCCATTCAAAAGTCCAAAAAATTTCATAAATTTTAAACATAAGGCAAATAAACAACCGCGTTACTATTAATAATCGTGTTGTTACATTAGATTTGTCTTTTTTATATAATAAGATAAATAATTAGAGAAGCTTCGGGAATGTCGATTAACAATATTCAATTGAGAGTCAATCTTAATAACATCTGAAGTGAAAATTACAACTATGAGACTAACTTTAAAAATAAGCTCCTGAACAATCTTAGTAAGATCACACGAGGCGTCAGGTAAAATCGAAACATGTCTTTTTCAAAACGCGTCATGCGATCCCGTATACTAATATCATATTTATATTTTTAAAATGGCTTACAATTTTTTAAAATAGTTTTAATTTTATTATTTTTTATTTTCAATACAATTTTCACATACATACTCCATGATTTTCGATATTCTCTTCACAATTAAAATCTTACAGCACTTAAATTTCGATCACAATCGCAACTAGATATATAGGGTCAGACAATGTGAATTACTAGGAATAATTTCTCATTTTTTTTTCATTACTGAACATAGTATGTAGTTTTCATATCATATGATTGTGATGAGGTCGTTGACCCTATCTATCTAGATCTTTAAGCTGGTTCATGTTGTGGTCTTGTTCGTTAGGCCCTCGGCGGCGGCGCGTTGCCAGTGCCCGGCGGCGGTATGATGACGCAGGCCAATGACCCAGCGGATGATAGCTCCGATGCCAGAGATGGTATTGATCGCTTCTCCGAGGCGGGCGGCGACGGTGCGTCCACGTCATTCTGCAACCATCCAACTGCTGAACTGCCGCACGCTACAACATTGGGATTTGCAACGGGAAGGGGGGATTGTGGAGGGGATAACGGGAGGGGGGGTAAGGCACCGTTACTCATCAACTACTATGCCGCACAAGCCTTGCTGTCTCATAAAAATCAAATTTACCTAATATAAATCTCAAAATGATTTTCCATACAGACAGACAAAGGTTCGTTAAGGCACGCTATAACTACATATCTTTTTTCTTAATCAAGAGAGGGGTAAGGCACCGTTACTCATCCGCTACTATGCCGCACAAGCCTTGCTGTCTCATAAATATCAAATCAAATTTAATATAAATCTCAAAATGATTTACCATACAGACAGACAAAGGTTCATTGAGCGGCACGCTATAACTAATTTTTTTTTTTCTTAAGAGAATGCACAGAAACAATATTTTGTGGACTTCAAACTGACTGTATTTGTAAAATTTGAGCACAATTAATTGTATGACTTTAATTATAGCTTACAATAATTTATTAATGACAGTGACAGGCAAATGACAGTTACATCAATGACAGATGGAATTCTTTAAATGAATGAAAAAAAAGAGTACATCTAGCTAAGAAAACGAATCAATGGAGATGGTTTCCGGTAGCCATTTTGATTTTTATGATATTGATAAAATGAGTGCAATGGACCTTGGCCCATAAAAATCTAGGCATACTATTTGGTAGTTTTGTTAAGCGATGACACAATGACAATATCATGCTCCACAAGTGAAATTAATACAAAAGAAAAAGTGAAAGCTATATAACTATTCTGTATTAGTGATTAATAAATGGGATGAGAAAAGATGTTATATTGCCAGAGAACAGCAATGGTGTTGTGCAAAACAAATAAAAATATCTAAAAATTAAAACACATGATCAAAAAGCTGGGGAAATTGGCGTAAATGCTAAAGCGAGGGTAATGTATGAATAATATATGATACAAGCACATAAATAAAGAAATATAATACACAACACAGTATATAATATATAACTATCTAAAACATCATTATGGCAAATACCTAGCAATTATAAAATACATCCAAATAATAAACACCTAACAAAGTTACACATCTATGAAATATAAACATAGACCAAAATGAAAAATAATTAAAACACATTTTTAAAATATCGTTCAAATAAATATTACCTTTACAATGATGTTGAAGACAATAAAATGGTTAGGTCATATACATTTCCTAACTCCCAATAGGTAGCAGACTAAAAAGAATACAGTTAATGTTACACAATAACTACATATTAACAACACACTAGCGACTCCTTATAACTCTTTATTATAGAAATACATCATTACTAATATTGAATACTACTATTTGATTACATTACTGCATTATTTGATTCCAGTATCTGTTAAAAATATATTACCAACAAACTTACTAAAATACTCGAAATTTTTATACATCTATGTCAAATATGATAAAAAAACTTATCAAGAATAACGTTTGAAGTATTGAAGGGAGAACAACATTGTAGACCAATCATGCATCTATGAATATCTTGGATTTTGCTTAAAAGGAATATAAGCCAGATGATTAAAAAATAACAACAGTATTAAATGTATAATAATCGTTTTCATTCCTTCCACGATCCAATAACTAGCTATACAAATGACTAGCTGGAATTCAAATTTCGAATGACTATTTTATCTATGGCAACCCTAAAGGTATCTCTTAGCGACGTACAAATATTTTTATATTTCGAACGTCTACATAGTCTAATCTTTTATTAGCGGTGAACAATTTTCAAATTTCGAACGTCTACAAGTTCTATTAGCCCTAGCGGTATACAAAACGCTATATCGCCCGACGTTGCCATATTCGCTCGGAACGTTCCTATCTACGCACTTACTGTGAGCGACGTGTTTACAACCCAAGTACGCTCGCCTGAGAGCACTTGTGACTTTGCCCTGATTGCCACAACAAATAATAACAGACCTTTATTCATCATGAAACTATAACATCAAATATAGATGACGAAAAATAGAATTCAATCAGATTCGAAATATAAAATTGCATGACTTGCAGATGTTGAATATCATCCACTAATTGATAATGTGAATAATCATGCTCAAAATAAAAAATCTCACCACGCTAATTCCAGGATTCCCCTGCAATTATAACACTTGTTCACTTAGTTCCTATTACAATATACCTAAGGCAGTGATATATATTATAAACATTTATAATTATATAATAAACTTAATACGATATATAATAATACATATAAAATAAATAATAATACGGAATAATGTCACATACAATCTTTACCATTGTGTTATAAACGAGTTTAGTTCTTATATATTATTTAAATATTCTGAGATCGGATTTACATGAAGTTGTTAGATCAATATTTTTATTATTATTGTTATAAAGATTGCAAGTGATATACATACAACAGACGATACAATTGACCCAACCACCAACATATATTAAAATATATAGAAAGGACATGAACAGAGGATTGCTGCCACGCTCAAGTCGCTTACATTATTTATCTAAGTAATGACCACAAATTCTAATTCAACTCTCATACCATAGGTTTATTGACTTTATTATATTAAATTATTCAAAATCTTCCATAAATAACAGCACAGTAATTTAATAATTCTATTAAGCTAGGATAATTTAAGTATCTATCAATTTATTAATTATTATGTTTTATTGATAAAATAATTAGATCAATCTGATGGGAGTGTGATCTCCATGCTTATAGGGACTTTATGTCAACGCTCAATAAATAGCATGTTCGTAATCAGAGACGCATCAACATGAAATACAACACGAGCGTGACAGCAGCGCGTGCGAGGTGACGGGCGGCGCGTGCTAACGCTAGGGCGAGCGCGGGGCGACTGACGGCCGGGGAGCGTGCGGGGCAGGAGCTCAGCGGGGGCGGGGGGAGGGGGCTGCGGGCCGCGGGGCAGGGAGGGGGGGTTACCTTTAACGGTACGGGGGGCACCTCCAGGTGGTAGCCGATGTCGCAGAGGTTACGCAACAGCTCGATGCCTGGAAATATAGTGAGGGCATAATGAAATGGTCGCTTTGACTTACCATAGGTAGCGCATTATTCTACTAATATTATAATTGCGAAAGTTTGTGAGTGTGTGTGTATACTTGTTACTTCTGCACGCTCAAACGGCTGAACCGATTTTGATAAAATTTTGTGTACAGGAAGCTGACGTCCGGGAATAATACATAGGCTACTTTACATCCCGGAAATCCCGGAACACCGCGGGGCACAGCTAGTAAGATATACATTTTAGTTATTAAGTCATATTAATAAGCACCTGGTTCTCTATAGTCGCAGTATCTGCTCTCCCAAGCGTCGAACAGTCTGTTGTAGTACCGCGGCCCGACTAAGAAGGTCAAGTATTTATGCGTATTCTTTGTAGGGAACACTCGCTCCATAGAGTCTATCTGCGTCAATTCGTCTTCCGCTTGTATGAGATGTCGAACATCGTCGGGCGTCAAGGTAGATAAGATGTCTCTTAGATACTGAAAGATCACGGATATTTTGTTGAATGTTTAATATTATGAACTGTATTAAACTCAGAAATACAATTTTTTTTATCTGCCATAATTGTATTATTTGTCCAATAGTTTTAACCCTGGAACTAAAATTTAAAAACGAAATATAGAATGATAAATCCATCACACGAGCAGGATTTGAACGTAAATCGCCGATATACAACAATTAAAACAATTAAAACGTCAAACAAATTTACATTTTATCATTTTTAACTTGATTTTCTATAAAACTACTAGAAGACTCGGCGAACTTCGTATCGCCCTATAATCAAGAAAATATATCTGTTAGTTTTTTTAATAAATAAAGCTAGGTTATACCTTAGCCTCAGAAACACGTAATGGTTATGCTATTATGTATGAAATAGTCGCTCATATATGAATTGTGTATTTTTAACATAGCGCCATCTATTGAATACTTAACTCAGTCAACAAGTAATTGTAATAATGACAAATAATTTTCTTTAATAGACAAATAATTTGCAATAAAATAATATTGTGACTATAAATTGAGATGTAAGCTATCATATCTTTCAAGTTGGATAAAAAATGCACATGGGATGCAAATCAAATTTAAAATCGGTTTTGTAGTTTAGGAGTCCATCGCGGACAAACACGTGACACGAAATTTTGTATATACAGGGTGACTGGTGAATTACTATCAATATTTAAGGAGAATACTCGGTACATGATTCTCATTCGAATTATGGAAAAAAAATTGGCACTTAATTTTTGACCAAATTTCCGTATAAATAAATAAAGTGTTGACACGTTCCAAGTGTTCCAAGTGTGGACGCGTGCGGCGGCGTGCTGATACAACACCACGCCCCGCTCGCGTATGTGTGAGTGTGAGTGTATACCTAATCTGTAGGGTGTTCACACGATGCGTAATTAATTACATAACTTTTGGTTAACTTTACTTAGAAGTTTATTAATATTTATGTTATATTAATTTTTATTTTTTCATATATGATCGTCAAATATCACGTCCTCAAGTATCGATAGTAATTCACCAGTCACCCTGTATAAAGATTTAGAATTGATAGCCATTTCTATTAACAGACAAATCCCAATCCTTACCAGATCTCTGTCTTCCATGTGTGTGTATATAATATGTTTGTCGCGCTCTTCTTTCGACAGATACACAGTGTACAATCTACTATCGTATGGCAAACCATTCTGTTGACAAAAAAGTTAATGAAATTTGAATTATTTAATAGTATTCAAATTGATATATTTCTATAATACTGACAGTTTTGTACTGCTCCGGACTATAAATATAAGTGGTATTTACTTATATTATAATTGACTATGTTTTTGGATACAAAGAACTGTTAGGTTCTATCAGAATCACTATGTAACATGTGTCTCATTATTGATCTTTCCTTACCCAAAAAGTGGATTTTGAGTTTGAATCTACTTGCAAATATATCATATGTCACCAATAGTGAATTCCCATGTGTTGCCCATCAAATCAACAGGTACAATAACCAGAAACTAATCACCATTATTTATTATGCAGTCCACCACAGCAGACATAAAACATTTAATTAAATTTTATATAGTATTTAATAAACTAATTTTTGTCTCAGAACATCTCATGATATGATCACACAACTAAATTCTTTATCCTCAAATGTACCATACTAAACTAGGTCCTGTGTAATATATATTATATATATCGGGTATATTCTTCAAGGTGGATAATTCTCTTATGTTATTATCATTGGCTCAGTGATATTGAGTATTGTTCAGTACTAAAGGTCAAAGCTACTTACCAATCGGCCGTGTTCCCTAGCCAAGGCGTCAAGACTGGTGCGAGGCGGAACATGGAATTGAGCTACGTTGAGTACTGTTCTAACTAAAGGACCCTTCACATGAGTATCAAGAGGTGACGCTGAGTGGAGACTGGGAGATATATTCACCTGGAAATGAGAAAACAAATCATCAAATATATATATTCATATTTAAGAAACATTATCATAGCACTCATTTATGAATAATCTTTTTATTACCATACTAATACTAACAATTATATATGTAGATTTATGTAAATACATTTGTGTGATATGATCCGTGCATAATAGTAGTACACAATCAAAGAAACTATCACACTTTACTACTGAGTCCATATATGAACAAAATTTCAAAGTAATTGAATATACTAACATGATCATTACCCAATAAAGGACTAAGTTTAAGTAATATGAACATTTTCTTATATAAAAAGCAATATTAAATGTTACCTCCAACAGCCAAGGTTTCAAATCTTCATCCAAAAGTACATCAATGCCGAACAGTTCATAACAGTTGTATCGTGAGGTTATATTGGCCTTTGTCAGTGAACTGATGCTCGCCTCTCCCGATATAATGGTCTTTATCACTAGATCCTTTATAGACTCCCATAGTAAATCCGTGTCAACTTTCTGTTCAGTCTTAAGGTATTGAAATAGAGTTTGCAGAGTCCTGAAATTGATTAATTTATCTTTCTTATATAAATTATTAAACTTTAGCAAAAGTAGTATATTATACAAGCTTTTATTAGCTTATTAATTATTTCACGTTTTTCTGAATTATATTCTTACTGTATACTTGTTTTTGCCCGGAACTTCGTTCGTTCGTTTCGTTCGCGTCAATTTCAGCATTAGTAATATATGTATAGCTGACCGGGCGAACTCTATTCCGCCCTAGAGGCCGTAAACAACCAGACATTGGTGTTTATTAGTTTTTTTCTTTTTCGATCGAACAGAATTAAATATCCTATGTCCGTCTCCTAGTACTAAGTATCTCTCCGCCAATTTTCAACCATATCGCTATAGTTCTTGAGTTATAAATAGTGTAGCTAGTACAACTTACTTTCATATATATAACATAACCAAAACATATATTGATAATGTCGTATTATTATGTTTCGATGAATAAGGACGGGGCGAAATCACGAAATAACAATAGTAGTAAGTCACTTTCGTAAACATAGTTTATGTATCATGGCACCAAGAAATACTAAGAATAAAATATAATTAATAACACTTTTATATATAAATAACCATTAACCAATGAAACAAAAAACTATTAATTGTAGAATAATCTATATACAGGGTGACTGGTGAATTACTATCGATACTTGAGGACGTGATATTTGACGACCATATATGACAAAATAAAAATTAATATAACATAAATATTAATAAACTTCTAAGTAAAGTTAACCAAAAGTTATGTAATTAATTACGCATCGTGTGAACACCCTACAGATTAGGTATACACACCCAGACACACAAACGCGTGCGGCGGCGTGGTGTTGTGTCAGCATGCCGCCGCACGCGTCCACACTTGGAACACTTGGAACGTTTCCACACTTTATTTATTTATACGGAAATTTGGTCAAAAATTAAGTACCTATTTTTTTTACATAATTCGAATGAGAATCATGTACCGAGTATTCTCCTTAAATATTGATAGTAATTCACCAGTCACCCTGTATATCTCTTAAACAGTTCTAAAGATACTAAATCTTGTAATTTTATCCCAGAATAAAGAAAATGTCCAATCAAATTAAATAAATGTTGGAAATAGGATCTAGTATTGTGAATTTGTTAAAAATTATGTACTAACATTACATTTATATATTTCTGTATTATTTATATCTACTAACCACTTGTGTCCCTCACAAGCCGCGAAGTCTTCATTGGGTGTGTAGTTCTTGGACAGTCTGTTGATTGAGTAGTTGGTCAAGTGCATGTATCTGTCGTTCAGAGATGTTATATCGTCGTTGTACTTCACTGGAAAATTAAATATTTATATGAAAAATTTATATTTAATGTTATTTTAAAAAAAATTATGTTTTTATAATAATTATATTTAATTTTAAGTTGATTGTTTAACGCTCCTTGATAAAAAGAGAGAGCAAGAAGTAATGAAGAAGATCGAATGCAATGCGGGCAATCAATTGTGACTCATAAGTAATGGTAATAAAGTATGTCTTACAGAAACACTGAAAATTCCTTATAAAATATAAATAAATTTCTACCTTTTCCTGTTTTCATTCCAACAATAGAAAGTTTCACCTCCTCACTCCACAATATTTTTATATTTATTTGTTTATTTAATTTGTGATCTAACTTATTTCAAATTCAGATTTCCTCTGCATGAATAACTTTTATACATAATAATATGTATGTATTTAATAAAAAAAAAATATGTAAAAAGTGGCAATCGAGCACGCGGCCGATTTGATGGTCAGTAGTGACTGTCGCCCATGGACATCCACAGCATAGATTTTGAGGATGCGTTGCCAACCTTACTTGTGGGGGAAAAGGGAGGGATGGGAATAAGGAAATATAAGGAAAGATTGGGAACAGGTAAAGGGCAACCGGCTCTCTTACTCATCGGACGAAACGCAGTCATTATTGACTACTTCACGCCGATATTAATTTTTATTTAAAAAACTAACCTGAAGCAAATCTCGCCAACCCATCCTTGTACAAGTATATTCGTAGCGGATGTACGGACGTCACTAACACGTACAAGCGTAAGTCGAACTTGCTACCGTTGATGAGGTAGGGCTTGGAAACATATCGTTGAACCACTACGGGTTTCTTCTTAGGTATTTGAGTCCATCTTGACACAACTTTGATGCCGGTACCTCGAGCTGATGCTGGCTGGAAATGTATGATACATACATTTAATTAAACTAATACTTTCGAATATACTATACGTTTTTATTCTTTTTAACTATGACATACTCCCGACGTTTCGATTCCTTCCGGTCATGGTCACTATAGTCACGGGAAGTTGAATGAAAATAAATTTTAACGCGAATTGAATACACGCGAAAATCTTAGACATCTTTCATCAATCACAGATATAAGTAATTGTAACACATGTACGTAGTATATATTTCCTTGAGATATTTTTGAGTTATCAATATTAATTCTTAACTCAATGAACGCTATAGATTATTATAAGAAATGTGATACATGAATTACAAATCTGTTTGTTACCAGAATAGTGATTCATAACAAATTGAAAATTATAAGTGTATAATCTATTTATAGGTCACTTACAAGTAAAAAAATACCTAGCCACTTAGTTCGACAGACAAAAAAAAAATCTCATTTATTGTTACGATAGTTTTGACTGAATCTTACAAAAATAATATTCTAAAAAATATTTTCTGAGTTTTATACGAAAACGAGTGAAAACTACAAATGGACAAATCTGTTACCGGTTTTATGATCCACTTCTCGTTGTTCGCCGCGTATTTCTCCCAGTCGTGTTTCAATATCTTGAGGTCGTGAGGTAATACGTATGTCTTGGGCATGATTCCGAATTCGCCGACTCCGTGCCTCGACGCTAACTTCTGTAAATTCCTCCACAGCCTATCCTTGCGTCCTATCTGGAACGTTCCTGGGAAATGATTCATCTTCTGTCCATCTTTGATCGCGCGGAACATGATAGATTTCATGTGTTTACCCCATATACCAATCCAATCTACGGTTTCTGAAACGAATAAAATTTAAAAATATTAAAGAGTTTGAAAGTAAATTTTTCACATTTAGTACTTATTTAGTGTTCAATTTATTATTAATCGTGGAAAATGTCGATAATATAGAAAATATTACAACTTTCTTCTAATAATCTGCTTCCAATATAATTACGAGGAATTATCCAATGGTAGTTAGAAGTTTTGCACTATTCCCGACGATATAGTACCCTCTACGATCGAATCCCTCCCAAAAGCAATCAAGCCTCACGCAATCAGAAATTACCCTTCCGTGTTCGCGCCCTCACATCATTTATTTTTAATGATAGATTAATTATAGCAATCAAATTTCACGTTCAGCCATTATTGCTTAATAAGATCAGTGATTCATAGCTATAATTAAAATCATTATACCTTATAGTATATTAGGCGACTAAATTTGTTACTAATTTTAGATGTATGACAATGATTCATTTTAATAGGAATTTAAATGTATTATAAACTTGCTTTTGACCACGTATACACTCACAGAAATCCAGTAAACTATTAGCAAAATAGTTTAAAAATAAATGCCGAGATTTATATTTATCATAGTAAAAACTTTTTTGTATAGCAACCTTCTTGGGGGCATTCGGATGTATCGCACTCGCTCTTGACCAATCTGAATCCCGAATTAGTTAAGGTCTTCTTGACAACTATCGGTGTGATTGTGGTCAACTTCCACTTGAGGTGTTTCTGTATGGCCATCGGCATCTTGAGAGGTGCGGTGTCATCGTGGCCAATAAACTTTAAATATGGAGGAACTCGCGGGAACAGAGACGGACGAAGACAGTTAGACATTGACTCTGGCAAGTGAAGAGGTGACTCTGAAATATAGAGAAAATTACTTAATAAATATTTTTCTATCAAGATAGTAACAAACTAACTCGATGTACTACATAAGAACTTGACCGTTTTACGTACTTAATCTACAACGGTATTAGCAATGTTGAGTTTTAGAAAAACTCAAAGCTTAGAGTATCGAGTTTGTAAAACTTCTACTAAGGATACAAATCTAAACCTTCTATGAATTATATTGTAGCGATATAAAGTAACTCAAACAATAAGACCCAAAACACTCCACTACTAACTAACTGGCTAACTAAAAACTATGTATCTTGTTATATATTTAATGTTAAATCAACCTTTCCGAGTGGGAATATTTTTGAATGGATTTGTCGTATGTAAAGTGGTCAAGAACGGATCCTTGTTAATAACTTTCTCTGAAACATTAATAAATGTTTTTGCATCATGTGTTGTATTACTTAATAATTGAAACTTATATTGTATATTATATATGTATGTTACCTTTAGACACAGCTTTCTTAGGAGACACGAGGGTACCGTTGAGTTTAGTCGCTAACTTGACCACGGGATTTTTATCTACATCATTATGCAGATGTTTATCTGTCTTATCTACTTCCGGTTCCGTTTCCATTTTCCAGGTGTCCACAGTCGGGTCAGGAGACGGCGAGCGGCTGTGAGAACTGAAAAAACGTTATTTTTATAAAAATTCATGTTGACATTTTGAAAAATTACTACCAAATCATTATTACTGCGACATGCAGACAGTTTACGATCTCCACGTGTCCACACGAAACATTCGAAATTATTATTTATTACAGGTTATTTATATCTGGGATCATATTGTTCTCTCACTATTTAGAAACCAAAATAATGTATAAGATACACTCAAAGATTCCACAATTCTTATCGAACACTTCAATATGTAAATAAAAAAAATAGTTTCATAAAGGAATTTCCTATCGATTTTATTTTTACTAAGAGAAAAAGCGGTAAACGAGGCGCAGCAACTAATTTATACTACACTAGCTGCGCCCCGCGGTGTTACTTTCGGATTTCCGGGATATAAAGTAGCCTATGAGTTATTCCTGGACGTCAGCTTCCTGTATACAAAATTTCATCAAAATCGGTTCAGCCGTTTGAGCGTTAAGAAGTAACAAACATACACACACACTCACAAACTTTCGCAATTATAATATTAGTAGGATGTACACGACACTATAATAGTCGAAGTAAAATGGTGATATCGGGATATTCTCATGGTACGAGGGCACTTACTCATCAGCTTCCTCTTGAGTGCTTATGGTGGTCTTCGTCTTAGTTTTCTTCTTTTTCTTCTTCTTGGTGATAGTGGTCGGGGTCACTGAACTCACTGGCAAAGCGGGGCTGTGAGCCGGTCTTGTAGGAGTATGGGTCTCTTGACGAGGCTTATGAAAAATAACAATTAACATAAGTATATATAAAGTATAGATTTCACGCCGTTTTTTAATAGTAGTTATCTGATTATTGATATACATGATTATAATCGAGCATACTCGAGAAAAACACGATGTAATCACATAGTACAAACAGCTAGCAAGCTAGCGGGACACCTGACGAAATATAAATGAAACACGTTGACAATAAAAAGCTGTATCGAATACAAATAGATTTTATACAGAAATAACCAATCTAGAAATTTAGAAGCCGTACGATGTTCGAAATTACACATATTTTTGGCAACCGACGCCAGTACAAAAGGTATAGCCATTTAAACCACTAGCACTCAACTGAACACATAATCGAATTGTATATATTAAATAACTAATCGCTAATCTATTAAGCATTCAAAGTTTAAATGCATCGTATTGACATTTTGTATTGGCATAGAGCCCGGCAGGGAGATATGAAGCGTCGGATCTGTGAGAGCCTCATAACAAACACATAAGGAATGTTATATTAAGGTAGGATGTGTTATTCGTGTGATGAATTGGTTTATTTTAAGATAATGTATAGCATCACCTACGTCAGATGTATAATGAGAACACTCGTCAGATACTGGAATTCGGATGAGTAGAGTATGGTAATAAATTATTATAAATTAACACTCGGGTTTTGTGAATTTAGTGTATTTTTTTTGTTACCGTAATCGAGTCTATTTCACTCACTCAATAGTTTCATAGTAGTTGCTGACCTATATAAAAAGTGGGATATAATTATCAAGTAACATATTTATTTATCGCATTGCAGCTGTTCTGGCTGAGCAGCCTAAGGATGCGTTTACATCTTCGATTTGGTAACACGACATTTAAATTCTGTACTAATATTATTCTATTTTAATTCAAAATTCAGTAAAATTAACACCTAACTATTTTGTATATCGTAGTGAAAAACGCCCTTATTTTAATGAGATTAAATATAGAAACAATATACAGCGATAAAGAATCAATTAACTCAAACACTATTCGTCTCGGCTGTTTCATTTTGTACTTCTGAATACTTAGAAAAAAAAAATTTTAGTTAAAACTAAAACAACACTGAAAAAAATTAGAAACTTACAGCATGACATAATTTCAATATAATCTTCTTTAGAGATGGCATTACGATAATTATTTGAATCGACAATACGACACTCTATATTAAGATTATAATATCGTAAACAAAATTCACAGGGTCGTTACACACTGACGGACACTAAAACAATTATTATATCAGCGGCACTCTAAAACTGTCGTCGCGGCACGACGCGTACGAAAAAAAAATCTTAAATAAAAGAAACTTCCGCAAACCGTAGATCAGACGGCGTTTGTGTAAACAATTTACATTGTGCAAAATTGTCTTAGGACGAACACACACGAGCGATAAAATAAACGCGTACACTGATTTGACGTTTATCACGATATTTTTAATGGATTAATTAATATCTATGACTCATTAATAGATATAAGACATTTTTTTTCTAATCTGTGTGAGGAGAACCAAAAATTTTTTTGTTACTGAAGGTTCACTGTACTTTATCGTTCTGTTACTAAAACGTTGTAACTAACTTCACCCCTTTTCAGTCGCATTTTATTCTCTCGTATAGAACGCCTAAGCGGTACTTTTTGTGTATCACAGAGATAAAACATTTTCGACCTTACTGCTATAATCATAAGACTACTTACGATACAAACGTGCCATCATTGACGCCGTGCTGGGATGTGCCAGGTGTTTAACAAAACCGTGAAATCGCTTCAAAACACAACTTATAATTTCTAATTTGTTTAAATAATTAATATGAACAAAAATATGAAATTCCGTCTCTGATATTTCTATATACTGTACATGTATTGGATATTTTAAAAACATACTTTAATTAACACATCCAAGTATACGTAATAATTCAATTGACACAAAAAATGAATGAAATTAGTTACCGAGATACCTTTTATGTAATCAACAGTATCATATTACGTTATCAATCTATTTTTAATTAACACTTATCATGTAATTCGTTTCTAAATCTTTTTATCCTTCACAAATTAAATAATTGTTAAATACCGCAATCATAAGGTTTTTCACAAACAATGATTATAACGATTAAGGTGCTGGAAAAATTTAACTTTTAAAAAAATCAAACAATTTCATGAAACAAGATTTATAAATATTTATTTTTACATATAGAATTGTACTGTACGTGGGTATATCACTCAACTTTTAAACGGCTGCACCGATTTGAATGAGTTTTTAAGCATTTGGATGGTGTCTTAGATGGCTTAGATTCACTAATTCATTCAGCCCGGCAGATGTCGCTGCAGTCGGTATCTAGGTTATCGAAAACAAAAGGCTGCAACGTACATACTACATAGGTTACTATACCTATTATATATTATTATTCGAGTATGTATATCGCTGAAGTTAACGCGGACGGATTCGCGGGCAAACACTAGTATAAATACACGTCACCCTTTGGAAGGCGAAATAATTTGCTTTAATACATTTTACGTAACTGGCAGCGCCATCTAACGTCTGTATTGCGTGACTTCAGACAAAGTACAACTGTAATAGAGTTATAACTTCGTTGGGAACCAAAGGAAATTTGAAAATAAATTCTGACCTAATTATTATTATAATACATCTTATTGATGATTATCATTAACAAGACATATATTTTTGTGCAAGAACGAACATATACACATACATCATTCATAGAAACTTTCAGGTTTTATTATTATCTACTATGTATATAACACAATATATAATCGTATATAATGTCGAATAAGACCATGATAGGCTTAAGCCAATTTAATAAATATTATTAGTTGGTTACAAATACATATTTTTTCCATACATATTTCACTACTCTTTCTAATATTAACAGAGTTATAAATATACTTTCAATTCGTATAATATCTTGTTTTTATATAAATAACATAAATAATTTCAGACACTTGTATGTTGTAACGTCGAAGATCGGCTGTCTTGATGACGGACATATGTTTTCAGAATTACAATAATTTATAAATAATCGAGTGAAACGTTAATTTTATAGGAGAATCTATGTATTGTTGAGATATATACGATGAAGATTTTTTATAAAATATTTTTTTTTAATTCAGTAATATGAAAAATATATAGGGAAAACTAAATATGTATGTTTACTGTATATAACGCAATATTAACGATACGAAAAATATTTTAGTTAACCAATAAATATAATATTAATTATTTATATTAACTAAAGCTTTACATAAGTGAAAGTACAAAGAAAGAAAACCACTTACATAGAGTACTGATAAAACGAATAATAAAAAAGTAAAAAATATATTAAAATGATTGTTCCCTGACTATTACTGAAGGGTGTATTTAAATTATCTCAGCAGGAGTTCATTATTGAAGTGTGTATTGATTTTTCACTGACCTATATAGACTAAATTAGATTGTAAGTTAAAAGCTTCAACATATAGAGGTAATAATATACAGCTGCGTGCAAAAGTATTAAGCACCCTTATTGTTAGTCACTATCTCATTAGATAGAGGTCAAGTGTGTGTTTTATGGTTTAGCTATTGTATTAGCGGCAATTTTTAACCAAATTAAGATAAAAGAAAATATTTATGACATCCAGGTGTGCTCCTAAGCGGTTTTTCTACGAATTTGCTTTTTTTGCGTTTCGGGTTATAGTGTGTTATCAGTGCTTGCAGTGAACATACACGTCTTCTACGCAACTATTCCTATCACAATTCTAAAGACTAACATTTAACGTGTTAATCATGCCGAAAAAATCTGAACTTAGTCCTGAACAGCGTCTAAGAATTAAGATTTTACATGAACAAGGCATGTCTCAGGTTAAAATAGCCCGAGAAGTGAAGTGCTCGCGATGTGCAGTTCAATATGCTATAAATCGCTTCAAAGAGACTGGCAACCATGAAAATAGACCAAGAACAGGCAGAAGAAAAGTTACTACTGAACGGGAAGATCGATTGTTGATTAGGCAGTCTCTACAAAACAGGAAAAAAACTGCTTTAGAGCTCGCTGCAGCATTATCTGAGTTAAAAGGCAGCTCAGTGAGTGTTTATACTGTGAGAAGAAGACTTCTTAAAGCTGGATTAAAAGGATGTAAAGCAAGGAAGAAGCCGTGGCTGTCAGAACACAATAAGAAAAATCGGTTGGAGTGGGCACTCAAACATAGAGATTGGTCAGTGGAAGATTGGTCCAACATACTGTGGTCAGACGAATCTAACTTTGAGGTATTGTTATTTATTTTATGTACAATATTAAAACACATAAATGTATTTAAAATAACGTACTGCAAGAAAAATAATAACTTTGAAAATAAATGTTTTTTTTTCGTTTGGCATAGGTGTTTGGAACACCCGGTGTGACTTATGTTAGGCGAAGGGTTGGCGAAGAATACAACCCAGAATGTGTGGTTCCCACTGTTAAGCATGGTGGAGGCTCAATAATGATCTGGGGCTGCATGGCTGCCGACGGAGTGGGCGAAATGGTGTTGTGTGAGGGACGAATGAATAGTGTTAAATACACTGAAGTTCTGGAAACAGCACTAGCAACGTCTATAACGCAAATTTTCAGTGATACAAACACCGATGGCCTGATATTTCAGCAAGACAACGCCACTTGCCACAAGTCCGCGCATACCATGAAGTGGTTTGCTGAAAATCATATTGATCTTTTGGACTGGCCACCACAATCACCAGACCTCAACCCGATTGAGCATATTTGGTCCATTTTAAAGAAAAATATCCGCAGGCACTCGATTAGCAATAAACAAGCTCTATTGGCCGCGTTACAGCAGGAATGGAAAAATATATCAAGAGAAGAATGTTTCAGGCTGGTAGTGTCAATGCCAAAAAGAGTGGCTGCGGTTATTAAGTCAAAAGGTGGACCTACAAAATATTAATTATTTTCTTAAAATAAAGCATTGTAATCATAAATGCAGTTTTATTTACA